CGGATGCGGCTACTGATGAGGTCTTTGCTCAGCTATCTCTTGTCCCTCGATGCGAGGTTTGTGCGATTTCCTTCTTGGGTTTCTGAAATAAGTCTCCAAAAACTTGACATTACGCAATAACGAATAAGTTCTGGTTTAAAGCTGTCCTTTTCGAAGCTAACCCTTTTCACTTGATCGGTTCATTTTGGGGGGTTTTGTTGAGCAGGAAGTTGAACAGAAGCTGGGGGAGGGGGAGGTTGAAGGGGATGAGGAAGCTGAGGAGTTCAATGGCGAGAATAGGTCGTCATTGATGCCGCATATGTTCTGCAAGACCCTCACTGCTTCGGATACCAGTACTCATGGAGGGTTCTCTGTTCCTCGAAGAGCTGCTGAAGATTGTTTCCCTCCGTTGGTACGTTCTGTTTTGGGTGAAACCAGAGAGATCATACAAACTATAAGATGATCAGACTTGTTCTTTTGGAATATAGGATTACGCACAGCAGAGGCCTTCACAAGAGCTTGTTGCCAAAGATTTGCATGGAACAGAGTGGAGGTTTCGACATATCTACCGAGGTAAGAGAACACACGCACGGGTCTCTTGTAGTAGTCTTGAGTTTACGTACGCTACGATGTTTGTCTATTGGGGTTGTGGAAAGCTCACTGAACCAAGCTCTAAACTTGGGGATGCTTGATATTCCTCTGCAGTCGTCGAGTTGTGGAGAGAATGTAAATGGTGATAAGTTAACTTGGATAAGAGTAAACTAAGTTTATCCTATTTCTACGTAGAGACCATCTCGCTCTAGTTTTGGTGTCTTTAGAAAATTGTTCCCTAGTGATGCCTAAATTTCCTGTCTTTCAACTTGCATCCTCTGGATAATGTCACAGATGGAAGTGTAAAATAAATGCAACTTAATGAATGGTAAACTCCAACTTGTATTAGGGAGAAGTCTCTTAATATTGATAGTTGATGGATTAGGAGGATTGGAGTTTAGGAATGGCATCTCCTCGATCATTTTCGTCTTGTTTATGTAAGCAACAAACCAGAATTTCTGTGCTGACTGCTATGTTCTGTGCTGGATAATCCTAATCAAACTGATCGTTCATAACCAAGGGACCACATAAATATTTAAAAGTCGCTAATGACAAACTTATTGGAAACTGTTAGGCACATGCATCAATTTTGTTGGTAGAAAGCGACCTGTATTAGTATACTCTGAAGTCTTAGTAGTAATGATTTCCTGTAGTTGACTTGATGTATATGTATTATTAGCCTTGTAATCAGGTTAACCAAATTATCGTCTACCATGGTGTTTTACTTGGCCATTTAAAAAAAAACCTGTTAATGCAACTTTATATCACTCAACCTTTTCATGTGCGAGTTATCTGCATATGAGATTTAATAGAGGCAAAAAGGAGGGTCTTGAGTGGGCTTGATATGGTTGATCAGATTCTGACTGTTCAAGTTGTCGGGGGGTCTTTAAGAGGACTTGGCAGGTTTAGAAGCGACTCATGAACAAATAAATTTTCCTCCATAAGGGCATGTTGATTTCTATATTCTTTCAGCTGAGAAGACTGGTTTTTGTTGAAGCATGTCATGTTTGTGTGAAACAAATTGTTATGAGACATTTCTCATTTTGTGAAGCAAGTCTTTCAGATCGTCAATGCTGACTTCAAGGATTTGTTATGTTACCTTGGAGATTTTAGTATTTATGTAGGCTCTTAACAGGTCAACCACGTAGACACCTTCTCACTACAGGATGGAGTGCATTTATAAACAAGAAGAAGCTTACCTCTGGGGATGCTGTGCTTTTCCTTCGGTAAGTGAATGCAGGTCATGTTGATACCAACTATTTTTTTTTTAACGTAAGTCACAAATTCTTTACTTCATATCTTTCTTTCTCCCTTTTTTTGTTTAAATAGAGGTAACAATGGGGAGCTAAGATTGGGAGTCCGGAGAGCTGTACAGCTTAAGAGTGCAATACCTTATTCTGGTCTCTGCACCCAGAGCATGAATCTTGGTACACTTGCTGCTGTGGCTGATGCTGTGTCCTCAAAAAGTGTTTTCCACATCTACTATAACCCAAGGTATATTTATATATGGTTATTATCAACTAGTTTCTGATCTGCTGCCATATCGAAAGCTTCTGAACTTCACAGCAGCTTTATACTACTTTTATCCTTTGAATCCGTTGTGGCCCAGTTACTGTTTGTAACCATAACAATTGGGCTACATATAATTGAGAGTATTTGTTAGCTTTAAATGATGACATGCAAGGTTTCCAAATTGTTGGTTTGGCATCTAATCAATTTGTATCAGATAGCTTTGGAATACTTGGCTAGTATAGGTATCTCCATTTGGGTTTAGACATTTGTAACTGAAGGTTTATATTTTGCAGAGCAAGCCCTTCAGAGTTCATAATACCACTGTGGAAGTTTGCAAAGAGCATGAATTATTCATTTTCTATTGGAACACGATTTAAAATGCGATTTGAAAGTGAAGATGCATCAGAGAGAAGGTATGACACATGAAATTCATGAAAAACAACACTCATATCTTTAATATGGGAAAAATTTCTTTACATGTTCATTTTGTCAGGTATACAGGATGGGTCGCTGGAATTGGTGATGTGGACCCCGCTAGATGGCCTGGTTCAAAATGGAAATGTCTTTTGGTACGTTATAGAAGTATTTTTATTGTTATTTTGCAATTATTTACTTAATCCATTAATAACTTCAGTCTAAAAGCAGCATGGATTTATTTCCCCTTTATTTGATTTAAACCCATAGGTAGAATTTGAAGTACGTACTCTTTCCAACTACCTACTATGAATGGTTTATTCCATGTGGTCATTTACTAGTGAGCCCTAGGCACTAGGGAGTCTTAATTAACCCAAACTAAGTATTCTGGTTTTCATCTCATGTTGACTATTCTACGAGTCATATGATCAATTGTTTCTTGATCTGTGCAACTTTTATGTTGCATTGGAGTGCTGCAGAAAGGAAATGTTTTGACATGATAACTGTTTTATGTCTTGACTTTTTACAGGTGAGATGGGATGATGATGATGTTGATAGAAGTCGACAAAGTAGGTTATCTCCATGGGAGATAGAGCCGACTGGTACCGTTTCAGGATCAACTGGTCTGTCAGCATCTGGTTCTAAACGAACTAAATTCTGTCTGCCTCCGGCTAATCCTGATAACCCAGTTTCAAGTAAGTCTTTTTAGTACATTACTACTAGCTAGAGAAAGCTAAAATTCGTCTACCACTTTAATTTTTTTATGTAATTGTTTTCAGATGGAAGTGGGTGTGTGGACTTAGGGGAATCAGTAAGATTCCACAAGGTCTTGCAAGGTCAAGAAAATTTCGGTTCTAAAGCTTCTTATGGTCATAATGGTGTGATGAGTTCTCGGATTACCGAGAAACAAAATCATCAATATCCTGAAATGAGGAGATCTGAGTTTTGCTACAAACGCGCAGGCTTTGGAGAATCTGTAAGGTTCCATAAGGTCTTGCAAGGTCAAGAAATTTTCCCAGCAAATCCATATGCAGAGAATTGTGTATTTGGGTCCTTTAAGGGTGGAAACCCTAGCGTGGGAGGTCGAGAGCCTGTACCAATCCAGGGGTATAGCATCTTTGTACCTCCATCGACACCTCCAGTTCAAGTGTCTTCACCCTCTTCTGTCCTAACGTTTCAACAAAATTCTCAGTTACCATGCTCTCAATCAGTTTATGGATCAAATACTTGGAATAATGGTAACAATGGCAGTTATTTAGGATATTCATACTTTCCAAAGTTCGCAGGTGAACTCAACAGAAAGCAATGTGAGGCAGAGAACAGCTCTAAGCAGGGTTTAAAGAATGAACAGGCTATTGGGAGAAATAGCTGCAAGGTTTTTGGTTTTTCCTTGACTGAGAGAATTCCGGTGGTTGACGTAGTAGATGACGCTTTTCCTGCATCTCCTACTTCCGCAGATATGAACTTCGAACCATCTTCTCCATCTTCAAATCCCAACTCTGTTGAGATTAGTTGCACAAAAGTAAGCAGTCTTCAGGCCGTGTGTGCTGCTACGCCTTTTTAGCAGGATTAGGGCTTTTGAATGACAATGAGAAGAAATGGCATGTTGCATATGCTGATGATGATAATAATATGGTCCCTGGCAGTTATAAGAGCATTTGCAACTATCTTCTCCGGTTTGCCATCATTATGTGTTCATCGCTATGTCCAGTAATTTGCACGGGGACTCTTACAAAAGCTGCCTCAAGGACTATGATGTACGCTCGTGACGCTAAAGAGTTGATGCCATGTTCGTAGCTGCTTAGTGACCTGTCCCTTCATGTTGAAGGGTTAGGTTAAACTTCATAGGATTCTGGGGCATTTATCTACATATGTGTCTTGCGGGAAACTATGTTAGCTAATCTTATGCTTTTATGACTCGGGAGATGTTGAACTCCTAAAGTGGTTCCTTATTTGTCTTGGATGGACAGCATGTTGACTTTTTAACTGTAATTTGTTCTTGTGAAACTTCTACTATTATTATGTAACAGCCGGAAGGTTCGTAATGAAATCCTGGCTCTGTTGGTTGATCACATCACATTTAAATTTGGGTCACATTTAGATTTTTTTTTTTTTTTTGGTTGAGAAAATGCGCAGACGCCCGCTATTTTCAGCTTCAAATGCGATTGCATGTAAACACGTTAGGTTTCCAGGTTCCTATTTATATCCTTGACTGATGGCACTGTTTTTTGGTCTGATTGTTTCTACTTTATGTACAACAAAACAACCAAAATATCAAACATGTAGGCTTGATCAACACAAGGTATAATGGGAACTTTAGGCTGTGCTTGACAAACTCTTAAAACTGGGCACTTCCGCAAGTTGCCTCCCGGCAAATTACAAACTGACGATCCACATACAAAATAGCCACCACATAGATTCTATAATTGACAGGAAATGGCACAGAAACCTGAAGGCAAATGGAAATTTTTTTCACATGAAGCAGTATTATAGAGAAATAAAGATAAAATATGCCATGCAGTCACTAAAGCAGGAGTATCTGTATTGTCACTGGTTCTTTTCCCTACTCAAATATATCTAAATACATAGACTAGCCTTCATTGTCAACATTGGTTAATTGCTACATTTAAATACATTTACACGCATAAGCTGTCCTTCATTGTCACCATTGATTATTTGCCACAGCTAACATGATAACAAAGTTACAAAGTAATTCTAACATGTTACCGAATCATATTTACATGTTAACAAGTTTGATTTTAGTCAAACTGCTTCAAACTTACCAAAAGTTCATCCAAAGGTTAAGCAGTCCGGGAAATTGCCCGTCATTCTGAATTACCATGCAAGATAAGATTTCATAGAGGTGTAGACCGAAAATTCCTGCCTATATTTCAAAATTCGTACACCTCCAGAAAATGAGAATCTCAACTCTTTTTCTTCTTGAAGTCAACATGTCAGTCTTTTGCATCAGCCACTGCTTCCTTGATTTCGCGTACTATCTCCATCATAGAACACAGGCAAAATTTATCATATCTACAATGTAGTACATCATCTGTTTGGGGTTCTGAAGATACTAATACCCCATCTCTAAAGAAATATGTTGAGGCTTGTTGGAGTGAAGAATCATTTTCAGCATGTCCTTTGGGATTGTCTTCCTTTCTCAAGTGGCAAATGCAGTCTGCAACCAGGAACACGTTGTTTAAGGTTTTATCCCGACATGAGATTTGCTTCTTATTACCAACTTCTTGGCAGGCGCGGTTTTCAAATTGAGTTCTTTTACAGTACTCAGCCAAATTGATATTTTCAAACATGTAGCATTTCCTCAATGCTGCCAAAATATTTAAAGAACACGAGGAAACAACATTATTGATATCATCAACAGTCGAGCATCGACCATTAGATTCCCAGCACTGAGATAAAATGCCACGGACCAACATATAGAGGGCATGCAAGCATCCAGAGCAACACTTGTAGAAACAACAAACCTTGGAGGCAGCTAAAACGTTGCAATCCTTTCCGAGGGTAGGATCAGAAATTTTAGAAGGTTCCTCCGGAACAAGCTCAGAATCTTTACATGAAAGAACAGTGTCCAAAGTATTGTTGCAAAAAGTTACGTCTTTCGAGCTAGATGATACAGCATTAGCTGAAATATTAGGATCATCACCTGGGCTCTTCTCTGGAATTTCCAAGCCATTTAACTGTGTTACATGGTCCAGCCTTTTTCTGACTTCAGGACGAGTTCTGCAAGCTTCATCTTCGTCATCCTGTGTAGTAACAGCCAAAGAAGGCTCTGAATGTCTGTTAGAGGGAAGAGATGCAGAACGAACATCCTCCTGCAACTGCTCAGTTTGCTGTATCACGGCAATGCCCGGTCTAGGTGATGGATGATCCGAAAGGCCTTTATCTACATCAGTACATTGTCCGTTATCAGTAATGGATTTTGCAGAACTTACACCTGGTAAAGACTCTGGTGCTCCAGAGGAGCTCTTATCAACGAGGTTGGTACCACTTAAATTATTTTCTGTACACAGGCTTTCTGTGGACACTAGCTTGGCGTTTGATTCAGTTGTTGGATTGTTCGTATATGAACTGAAAAAGAAGCAGTACATAGGCATCATCACATTGAGAACTTGTTCGAAAAGAAACAACATAAAACCAGGTAAGTTGGCAATAAAAGGCAATATATATGCAATTAAAAATTGACATAAGTACCAAACTAGGGGAAGGAACCCCTAACGTTTCTCATGGTGAAGTAGAGGAAATAGTAGATGTGATAAAAGTTAAGAATATGTAAGTATTCAAAATAACTCAAATGGATTCAAAGATTTACAATCAATATGATAAATTTTAGAAAGAAAGATTATTAAGACAGGTCTGGATATTGGTAAGATAAAATATTTACCTCTGAAATTTGTATGCCCAGCTGTTGACCATATCTTCTAGGTAAGCCACTTGAGATAAGATCCGAAGGTACTGGTAGCTATCTTTCCCAGCCAATATCTTGACACGAATCTGTTCAACTAATAGCTCTAACACTTTCCTGACATCAGTTGTCACTTCCCTAACTGATGTGTAAACACCTCTGTATGCCAATAAGCCCACAGCTGTTAAACCTCTTACCACACCGGAATTGTACTTCTCTTTATGGATGCTAGAGTTTACTCCAGCTGATATCTTGTCAGGTGAGTTAGTAACATGCATTATACAAGCATTGAAAGGCCAATCTTTCCAAGGTCCATTGCTACCAGTGGAGGGACCTTCTCTTAGTTTTGAGGTTATCCAACAAAGTTCAGCAAATTGAGGGCATCTTAGAATTTGATAGCCAAACGTTGCAACTGCTAATGGTGAACTCCCTGTTGAAGATTTGCAAGGTAAAATTCTTGGAAATGAATCCTGATGCCTAATGGGTTTAATACCAGCCTCCTGGTGTCCACTTATTAGAGATGTTGGATCAGAATTTAGACTTTGTTGAGTTTGGTCTTTTCTGCATGCTATTCCTTCAGAAGAAAACTTTGTGTCAATTAATCCTGTCTTCTGTCCAGTTTCCATGCTTAGCATTTGGGATTCTGAATTAGCTTCCAAATCACCAGAGGTTTTCAATTTCTCTTGATTTTTAGTTTGATGAGTTCTGTGATGAAGCAACTGAACAAAATTTCGTATTAGATCATCTGACAATTTTTCTGCAGAGGAATTAATAAGTAGTTTATGGTCAAAAATTCCGTTAATATGCACAGAAAAACGTGGTATTTTGTGTTCTGATGCAGCAGAATCAGCACGTAATATATCCCTGGCGAAGAAATGCCTTATACCCAGAGGGAGGTCAGGACTTTGTATTTCACAAGTAGCCTGCAAAATGAGGATAAATAAAAAAGATCAAAGTTGAGAAGAAGCTATATGGTGCATGACAATGTAGATAGTTATCATATCAGCATCTTTATGCAAAGAATTGCAGATCAAATACAGAAATAATCGAAGCAACGCAAGGCCACTAGCAAGAGACTGTTGAAGAGGATACAGCTGTCAGCACTGTGAAATTAGGAAATACCACAAACCCAGAAACATAGCTAAAAATAAAATGCTCGTTGAGTGACTGGTTACAAATGTTGTCGTGAAAAATGACCGCTTACATATAGCGCAGAGACATTAAAAAAAACATTAATGCACCTGCAAATTCCAAACTACTGATATTTAAAGTGCAACTCCAGGAAGGAAAAAAAAATCACATTTTCAAGTGTCAAGCATATTGTTCATTCTGAAAGACAGCCAAAGTTACATCATGAGCACTGAATCTAGCGCTTACCAAGATAATCAAAGAGGCAGATGTGCTCACAGAATCAACCTGCTCAACAAATGAATTCCACATTTCTGAAACACTTTTTGTGCCATTGTTTACTGTCAATGATTTGCAGATCAAAGGAGCAGTAGGACTCTCGACATCTTCCCCAAGGTTCTCACTAATAGCCCATAAATCAATCCTAGGCATGTAGATAACACATCGTCCCAAGTGGAAGCATTTTGCTGTTAGAAAAATGCTAGCATAAGAGCAAAACAGTTGGAAGGAAATAGCCAAAATTAATGTACGTATATGCTGAATGCAAATAAAGTTCACCTTTGAACCTAAGGATACATAAAATGTCCTCTCAATAACTTACAAAACATTAGGAGAGGGAAAATACAGTTAGAATTCTACAATACCTAAATCAAAATCTACATCGACTGTAGCGACATAATTCATATACAGGCATCCATCAATTCAAAGTCCCACTCAGTTGTTTGCAAATATTTTTGTTTGTTTCAAAAGAATGCCAAAGAAACTAGCAGACTCCAATACTCTATGAAGGAAGTGCATGGATAAAAGCTGCACTTGAACAAATACCCCATTCGCACTATTGATGAAAATTGACACTTGCGCGCATGTATGGAGAAATTCTGTCAGAGACATATTTATTCTTAGGAGGGCAAAAAGTGACAATGCTATGCTCCTAACTATAATTAGTGATTTCATATTCTCTAGAACACACTAAGGAATATAAGATTAGAAGTAATAACAATCGAGGACAGTTGCACTGATTTGAAACCTATGGTTAAGTAATTCAAAATACAGTTAAGCATTCTCAATCAGTGACATGGCATAGACGGCCACATCCATCAGCAGTCAGACTAACTGAAAGGTGAAGACCACATTTGTGCATAGATGAAGCATGAGTATCTGGATATTATGTATTGCACGTCTTGACTCTGGAAAAGAAATGTTTCTAGCGGCCATGAAGCAGCTGCAACTATGAGCACCTATTACCTAGCTAGGGGTGCAGTTACACCCCCAAACATATACAAATTAGCATGTAAAGTCATGTAATTTGTACATCTACCCCTCCATAAATTTTAAAATTGCACCCGCAGGCCCAAGCTATCTAAAAAATACTAAAGAAATTGCACCCGCAGGCCCAAGCTATCTAAAAATACTAAAGAAATTAACAACAATTTGAATTAGGCCATTGGAAAGTAAAACCCATTTAAATTTTCAACAATTAAGTCTACTATAAGTACATTCCCATCAGATAATAGTTTTACAATATTATATTTTCATTTTTAGGTAAACGGGCACTTGTTACCTCCACCCACCTCCCCAGCCCCAAACCCCACAACAACAACAAAAAAACAACCTAAAAAAAGAAAAAAGAAAAAAGAGAGTTTCTGGATCAGTCGCTGACTATGAGGAACCAATATACGAGACAAAAGCAACAATTTACCAGCGCACAACTACCACAAGTTATTGGCATTTTAAGCCTTATATTAAAAAAATAATGTTATGTCAATGAACATAATTCAACCATGCAATACTATTTTGGTGTCTGAAGCATGAGCTGTAACTTCAAGTGATTACTGTAAGTAAAACAACTTGTAATATATAAAATCTATTAGTTGATCAAAATGAACATAGAATAAGCACATAGACATGCCTTATTTCCATGTTGCAACATCGCATTCCCCTGTTTATGCTGTATCATCAGTTCTGTAGCCATATACCATTGATTTTTTGGTAACAACTGAATGGATTCATAGAAGGCCAGAGGATATGTATAAAGTATATAGTCTACAAAACTATTTGTTACTGAGATAAGCTTCATGTATGCATTTACGGTGCAACTCAACTAAACAAAAACGTCTGATCATGTCCATGTCAATGTAAATTGTATAGTTAAGAACTTAGGAATTGAATCTATATCATAAGAATACTATCTGATGTAAAAAATTTAACCAAATAATACCAGGATAACATACATAGAATTTGTGTTAAGCCACGAAGTAGATCCCCGTGCCCTTCCTGTGAGATAGTTGCCAGATTAACCTTCTGGACTTCAACATGGCCCATAAAGCTATGGAGAAGGCAACTAGCTAGATGCTGCTGACCAGATCTTGGACTCCCAGATATCAATGCTCGAAAACCAGACGAGCTTTCCGATTTCTGAGGAAACATTTTCATTGACTTGTGTCTATGCTCACCAGAATGTCTCAACATAAAGGAATCAAACTTCTGCTCGTTGCTGTCTGACACAAAGTTATCACCACTCACTGAGGGCACATCGATTAAGCCATAGTGAGAAAGATTTGCCTCTATTTCTTTCAGGACAATTTTTTCCTGAAGCAAATGATGAAGATGAGACTGCCAAGAGGAAGTTGCGACTCTTCTACGCTCCAAAGAAGAAACAATAATACTTCTAATGGATTTTGCTGCCTTAGAAAGGGCAGGTGGCAACCAAATTCTCTCATCATTACAAAATGAGATAAGAAGAAATGACAGTGGTAGTAGCAGACATGGAATTAAGTGGGCGGGGAGAGGTGAAGAAACTATGTCATTTGCAGCCATTCCAGCTTCCCTTCGGGAGCATGGTGGTGGTGCCACTGCAAGAGCCGTCAACCAATCTATTTCCTCCACAATAACTGATGGAAGAGAAGGAAGTCTCCCATGAACATGACCTTTCTCAGCAGAAGATAGAAGTTCCTTCAAGGCAAAATTTCTTTTCAGTGCATTCAATGCTGCTTGAGAACAGAGTGCCTGCAGATCTGCACCAGCATAACCAACAGTTTGATGTGCAATCCATGATAACAGTGCTCCAGATAATGGTTTTGGCCAAGTTTGAGTATGAAGTGAGAGAATTGCAGACCTATCCTTCTCAGAAGGCAAAGGAAAATATATTTCTCGATCGAATCTTCCAGGCCGCCTTAGGGCAGGATCGATAGCCTCAGGACGATTTGTAGCACCTATCACTATGACTGAACCTCGAGATTTCAACCCATCCATTAAGGAAAGCAAAGTTGAGACAACCGAACTGTGTGTCTGATCTTGATGCCTGGACCGTACTGGAGCTAATCCATCGATCTCATCAAAAAATATAATGGATGGCTGAGATTTCTCAGCCACCTGAAAAAGAAGCCTTAGTTGGCGTTCTGCATCACCAACATACTTGCCTAAACAATCAGCACCTTTACGAGCAAAGTAAGCTATTCGTTTATCACCACGGGAGCATGCACCAATCAGAGCCCTCACAACTAGTGTCTTGCCGGTACCAGGATATCCATGCAAAAGAACACCTCTAGGAGGAGTAAGACCCATATTACTGAAAAATTCAGGATATAAAAGAGGCAGTATAACTACTTCCTTCATGCACTGGATAACACCTTGAAGTCCTGCAACAGATTCCCACCCTTGGTGCAATATTTCGTTTTCCGAAGAACCACCAATATAAGTAGGTGCTATTCTTAAGATATCTCGATGAAGCCTTTTGCCTTCACGTTTCAAAAACTCTTCATCTTCTCCGCAATGTTCTAACCACTTCTCCTCAGCCTCTAGATCCTTTCTCCAAGCATCATTTGAATGCTTTCTCATTTCCAATTTCAACTTCCTAGCTTTTCTTTTTCTAATTTGATGATAATAACCAATTCCCTGAGGCTGGAAAAGACGCCGATGATCATGGCAGGCTATGAGAAATTTCCGATGATCAAATATACAACCTTCAGCTCTGCTGCAAGGCTACAAAGAAGATGAAATGACAGTATTTTAGAAAAACTAAAAGAACAAAGAACAAGGATTATATAATAAGTTAGAAAAAGAATATGACCAAATGATATGTTTTCGGACATCGATCAACACGGCAGCCAATTGTAGCCCCAGGTCTTCCACAGCGGCTACATTTCAGTGCCCTGCCCCTGCAAAGTGCTGCGCGAATATTTTTCAGGCATCCCAAACCAGCAAAGTAAACCTGAAAAGACACAAGTTATATGCAACATAGTCAATATAATTATAACACTAAAGAAGGAACCTCAAAATGTTCATCTGTCACAATGTAACGTGCCAACATGGATAACAAGTGAATCACCCTGTATTGTAGGTTGAAGTTTCTTCATAGCAACAGATGCCCAAATTTATCAATTTATTTTGTAGGTTAAAGTTATCTGTCCCAATGTAACGTGCCCAACATGGTTAACAAGTGAAGCACCCTGTATTGTAGGTTAAATTTTTTTTGTCATAGCGACAGATACCCAAATTTATCAATTTATTTTGGAAGCACTAATTTATATTTTAAGTTTTGCTAAGAACCAGCAGTTATGGATTACTTTAATGCATTTAGGCAGATTAACCAATGATTTGTTCACAAAACTTTATTTATGACAGTACATAAATATGTGCACCTCCATGTCTCTCTTGTTAAAACAGATATAATTCTTTCAATTCTAACTGCACATTTAGAGAAAGGAAAGTACCACTGACCCAAACCCCAACTTTAGTCCCACAAAAGCTTAGCCTTGACCCAAACAAATTGAAAAGAAACATCATAATGCTTTATGTTGCAAGTAATGCCAGCATCTAGAAAGCAAATAGAAGTAAGTCAGGTAGAGGCACACACCTCCGGACTCCAAACAGCACAATGCTGATGAACCCAAACACGAGCAATGCCAAACCGATCATGGATTGGACCCACGAGCCTACCAAGCCATCCGGGCTCATCTCCAAAACCATCCCAAGGATCATAATTCGGTTCCTCTGAAGTTGATGACCCTTCGCATGCCTCATTATCGCTATCCACAGACTCTTTAATGAGTTTCTTAGGAGGTTTCCCATCTGTGCCACCCCCACACAAGCCACACCTCCTCCCTTCTTTAACCCTTGTACTCGAAAGCTTATTATCCGACATGGGAGATGCGACATCACTCTCCTTCACATTCTTCTCGCTTGCAAACACATTGTTGTTAGCATTCTCATCGGCAACAGCCTTCTCCACCTCTATTTCCGGATTGGCTTCAACTCCTTGCACATTATCAGCACATTCATCCCGTTCTTCTTCAACTTGTTGCATGGTAATTACACAATCATCCCTTTCTTCTTCCCTTGTTACAATAGCTTGTTCAGAAGTCTCCAACTCCTTCCAATCAGAAGCAACCTTTTCTTCCCCAACCGCAATTTTCTCAACATCTTCATCTTTGTCAGCCCTAATCAACTCCGCATCTTGCATCCCAGATTCTTGAACATCCTGCCTCGGGCGCTTCCTCTTACCTTTTTTCCGTTTCTTACCCGCCTTTCCTTTTACAGAAGTCTTCAACTTTTCCAACTCAGATGCAACTTTTTCTTCACCCTGATTTTCATGTCCCTCTTCTCTTGCTCCAGTCTCCAATGCCTTCGAATCAGATGCAGCCTTTTCCTCCTCAACCTCCTCATCCCCACGCACAACGGATCCTTCAACACCCTGAGCCACCTGCTTCCTCTTACTCCCCGTTCCTCCCTCACCCACCTTTTCTTTTATAGAAGCCCCCAACTCCTTCAACTCAGAGGCAACTCCATCCCCCTCTTCTCCTGCTTCAACCTCAAATGCCCTCGAATCAGACTCGCCCTTTTCTTCCTCATCCTCCTCCACTTCCTCAGCCTCCTCATCTCTGTCATTCTTACTCAAGTCACAACCTTGGGCCCTAATCTCCTCGAGATCGTCCAAAACCCTCCTCCTCTTACCCATACTTCCCTTAACAACCTGAGACCTTCCTTTAATCCTCCCTCCCTTAGCCCTAGATCTCAACCTCGACCTCCATCCTTCGCCCTCCTCTTCCTCCTCAAAAGAGATCGAGACCGACACTGATCTCTTCTCCTCGCTCTTCTTGCTCTTCACCTTCTTCTTCTTCTTCTTCTTCGACTGGCGATCGTCATAGGGGTAGGGCTTCTTCCCGCGGTTGGAGGGGACGGGGGAGGAGTCGAGGATCTCCGGCGCTCGTCGCGCGCATGAGCTGCGGCGGAGATGGCCGCCGTTCGTCATCGTCGGAGGAGGGAAGGGAGGGGAGGGGTCTGTCGCTGATGGCGTCTAGTCTCTTGTGCTTCTTTTTGGCGCGAGGCGATGGGGACTGAGGCTTCGATCTCCTGCGAGTTGGAGACATTGAAGGAGACGTTGATGATGAAATGCCCTAACGACGGTTTTGAGGTTTTTTTTTGGGGGGTGCGACTTTTGTTCGGGGTTTTTATGTAGAGGGGAGTTGGGCAAAACGCTTGGGTAAATTTGAGAAAACTCCCGGAACTCTGAGGTAATTGCACAAAATGAGAACCACAAAAATTACATAAACATGTTTCACAAAAGCATCCTGAACTTTCAGCTACAAGTAGGAAAAAATTAGGAAAAAGTAATTATCTTTACGCTGCAGTTGCGAAAGAGCTAAGCTCTTAAATCCGAGATTTTGACCGAGGGCCATCACACCTAAAGCCTAAAGAAATTACATCAAGGAAAATTTTCGATTAGAAGATTAAATGGAGAAAATTTACTTCAAGAGCCAGAATTCAATCGTTTCATTGTACAGACATCAGTACAGCTACACCACCAATCCTTGCTAGCGTATGGTTACAACTCGGTTCGGGGGCTTTCTTTGCGAGGCCAAAAAAATAACACCAGAACTTCTTATGACGTTAAAGAGTATCGAGCCAAGAATCAAAATCTTCCATGGCTTTAGACGGCGAATCTGTTCCCTTATTTTGCTGATTTGCTGCAGGTTTCTGTTCTTCAAGAGAAGCCGAGGTCACTGCAAGCAGGTCATCAATAGAATCTTCGATGGATGTCAAACCAAAATGAGAATTTTGAGCTTGTTTAGAGGAAGTTTCAGCGAGCAAATTATCGATGGAATCATCAATAGAAGTTTTAGCAACTTCTCTTGAAGAATCAGAATCATGACCAATATTAGGAGCAACAGAACCAAAATTTGTTGAACCAGAGATATTGGTTTCTGTCAGTGAATCAAGAAGCATATCAAGCTCGGCTTCTGCAGCTGCGGCTTCAAATCTATCAGTTTTATGACTTCGGGTCTCTGATGTGTCTTCTTGTTTTGAAGAAGACGATGGAGAAATGTCGGGTCTATTTTCTCCTGCTTCAGCTTCCAGGTTTCTTTCATCATTCTTGAACATGAAGTTGCTATGAGTCTGGATACCAGCATTGTTTACTAAAACTGGGGAACTGCGTGAGGCTTGTGACTCAAATACATGGTTGAATTCAGCCGTCTCTGAAATTTCTCGTTCCTTGGATGCTGAGGTTGTTTCGGCCTCCTCGTCATTCTAGCAACAAAACAATACAATGATAACATTAGTGAGTAAGAAGTTAGCATCACTGGAATTTTATTTCCCTTGAGAGCTAACAGAAGCCAGTTAAAAGGAATCGACATTAATAAATATCGGAAAGGAGAAGTTTGGCTGGCATGTGAATTTTCATTTCTCATAAGAGCGACAGAAGACAAAAGAAGCTTCCATTACTAGTCGAGTGCCATATTATTTTCAGGGTTTGTCACTATAGAGTCAATGTTCTCATATGATATTACAGGCAGAAACTTAAGGTGTGTTTTAGATAAGATTAAATTTAAGACCCAAGTCTAGCTCCAATCAAGCGTTGCTAGTGTATGATCAAATAGTGTTTAGTATTCCAAGCAAATCATGAATACCCTGAAAATAGGATATTTAGAATAGAAAGCATCTGTGAATAGCTACAACCCCATAGCACTAGGGGTGCATTTCAAATTACCCTAAAATGAAAGCTTTGATGACTTGAGCAAGAAAGTCAAAAGATTGGGTAAGATCTTTTGAGCTTTGGTTTAAACCAATTATCCATATTACATACGAGGATAAATTCAATCAATATATTATTGAAGAGCCACTAATTCTGAGTTCCCGAAAATGACTATTCAAAAGTTTTCCTTGTTCCTGCCTCTATTTGAGGAGATTAATTTCAGGGTATTCACAAACAAAGCAATTAAAAATGACACCGTGATGCTTAATGCATAATTCTACTAGATAAGAAGTACACTCACCAGCTCTTCAGGTAATAGATCTGATTCAATAGAAAGCAATTGCGAAAGCTTCAGTTTTGATAGTTGTGTCGCCAGGGCATTTAAATCCATCGAGAGGAAAGGTACCTGACATCAGAGATAAAAAATGTTAAAAAGGAAAAAAGAGATCAAAGTACAACTTTTTCAAATATTATAAATGAAAACTTACAAGCCACTTTTATTGTTCTAACAGATCAAGTTGAATTTCATGTCCTTTAAGGATTTTAACAAGTTTTAACCTATTAACATAACAGATGTTCAGCTGAAGTCCAACTTTCCGTTTTGAATCCCGACTTTAGTCTAAAGATAAGATTCAATAAAAGGAAGCTAAATTTGAGAGATCATGAGACATGATACTTGTATTGGGCATGAACAACACTGATATGGTGCATTAGGCTACTGGAGAGCGGCATGCATTTTTTTCTTAAGCCTGAGCAAAGATTTGAAACAGTGATGATCCAACATGAGCCTAGGGCTTAATGGTGGAGAAGGTGAAAATGTTTTCATAAGTTCTATGGACGAATGGGAGGAAACCTTGCATAGATTTGTTTACTGAACACCAACCAACTAACAAAAGGTAGAAACAAATGTAAACATTCTTCAGTTATTTCACTTCTTTCAGTTTCTTGAGAACATATAAATGGAACTTTTAGAAATTTAAGAGAACAACAAAGAAGAGAAGCCTAAGCATAATGATACTAATGGTAAACTAATAAAAGACAGCGGGTCAAAATATGTGTATAATATGGAAGACTTGCTACCTCATAGCTTGATGCGGAGTCATCATCAACAATAAAATTGTTATCCCCACACATAGATAGTAGGCCCTTTCCTCTCGTAGAAAGCATAGAGCTTCCTCCCCGCATGAATTCTGAAGAAAACAAAAGTCAATATTCAGCATAAAGCTAAAGAAGAACTCAAGCTAACTCCACAACAAATCAACGTACATTATTTTAGATGTTCTTCAATTCAATTCAAAATTTTGCATGCATCATTCATTGGACAACAGAAAACCTGCAAAGACACAATCCTTTTCTTGATACTAGATAGAATATCAAGTCGCGGATTCTATAATTTCTTCCTCAACAATGTGCTTTATTGCTATTAAGTTCTATCCCAAATACCCAACAAAGGTTGAACTTTCGATTAAACTTGTTAGATAGCTTTTGATGCATGATCGGTGAACCGCATTTCGCACGGTTCCAAGAATAAATTGAGGACCCTAGGACACACAACATCACTGCCGCATGAAATCTCGCCTCGACCTCAAGTGTATTTTGCATCATTTCCCTTTACTGAGGTCATCTCCTAACTCACAAGAAATACCACTGATTTCTCCTGTGCGAACTCCAGAAATAGATCGTACACTAACAAAGCTGACATTTTGATTCATACCCAATTAATCTAACGCAGAGAAACAAGAAATTACCCGATGAAACCTCATCGACACCCCGAGAGCTGAAGTCCTTGGGCTGAGATCGAGCCTGCTCGATCAAGTAGCTAAAGTCTGCCCCTTTGCTCTTTGGCTTGACCTCGCCGTCGCCAGCCTCTTTAGAGCCAAGATTGGCGTCGATTTCTTCGTCGGGATCTTCGTAGCGATCCCAGTTTGAGGGGAGGGATCGAGTGGTGCTGGCTCTCTCCTCTGCTGCGGCTGCGGCCGCTGCTTTCTTCTTGTGGGCAATGGCGGCGGGAGGAGCGTGGGCTCTTCTTGCTTGCTGAGTTTGGGTTCTCTTGGATTTGGCCGAAGCTTTTGGGTCCATTTCCTCTTGGGATTTTGCTCGTTGAGTTTTTAAGAAAAAAGATGGATCGATTTGGTTTTTTTTATTAGGGTTGGGGTGATTAGATAGGGGTGGGGTTTATTAGTGCGACTAGTTCGTTAAGTTTTAGTTTGGGGGAAAAAGTAAATATCTAGCTTCAGAGAGCACATTTGCAAATATGAGAGAGTTGGGGATATTTATGCAAAGAGCAATATCACCGCTCCTACGTGCTAGGGATTTCGATTCACTCTGCAGCTCTGCCGTGAAAAAATAATTTGGATCTTCTGCGCTACAAAAAAAGTAGTGGAAAGACAACTATTTTAAATCTCAATTGTTAATTATCTAGATGGCGATTGTGATACATTCTAAATCTAATACTCACTGTAGCCATGTATATTGCACTCATTCTTAATTTACACTAAAAAAATAATAAGCACCCACTAGATAATCGATGGTTGTGATTAAATAGTTGTTGTTCCACTATTTTTCGATAGTGGAGATGATCTGAATCTTAAAAAAACTAGCGGAAGAACCACTATATTATTACAATTATTGGTTCTTTAATAAGTGGCTATGATTTTTCTACGTGCGATTTACATTATGGAGAGAAACAGTCATAATTCTCAAACCAACTCTCTATAGATCGATGATTAGTCATGATTGGTATAAATCACAGTATTCCATATGGAGATGTTCCCATAGAACATTTACTCCAATTTATTTTTTATTTTTTATTACACACACTAGGTGGAATGCACGTGCAATGCACGAGGTCAAATATTATAATTGTTGATTTTTAGTTTATGTATTTACTATAACATAGTGGTAAAAAAGTTTATCATAGTATATTAATTTTTTTTAGATATTTCAATATATAAAATCTTGTTGGTTCCAACACTTTACCTTCCACATAATTAGTGAGGTTTAAAGTCTTAAAATATTAATGATCTAAGAGCAATTTAATGATTTGGAATCCTAATTTTCAAATATTAATGATGTAAGCACCAATATCTAAAAAACTATTATTATTAATTAAAAAATAAATATTGAATTCATCAACGTAAAATTGTACATTTTATCTGGTCATAGAGGATTTTGTTTAATTATAAAGAAATCACTCGCACCTATTGTCTACTTCCACTTTCTATTATCTGGCGACCGAGTATTATAAATAATTGTTATGGCCAGTCACCACACTAAAATAGAAATATCGGAAGAATACCTGCATAAGCCCAAGCGAGCTATGGTCCGAATCGACTTAGAAGCTCAAAAGCCCAGCCGCTTATTCGGCTTACAAGTCATTTCCCAGATAATTGCCATGATGCTTCTCTGTGCACGAATGACTTCTCCTCCAATTCCCAGCCGCCACCTGAAGAGAGAAGGACGGGCACGCAGCCTACCTACCCTACACCCTACCTCTTCTGACAAACCCAGAGCACTAAGAAGACCTTTCTCCCCTGACACTGAATGACTTCCCTCCTAGTCGCCTGCCGACACCCGGAGGAAGAAAGATGACTCAGCAGCCTGCTTGTTCACCTTTCAAACCGCCTCCTGTGTGTAGTCAACAAAAGACGAGGGTCAAACTCCCAGAGGCAATGGGGCTATAAAAGGAGGTAAGGGAGGTAAGAGTAGAGGAGGTTTTTTCTTGGAGGTTGGATCTCTGTTTCTTCTTACACCTTAGCTTTACCCTTCGGGATCTTTTTTATCCAAAGCATTTTAATAATTCTAGAGGAAAAATCCCCTACAAGTACCTCAATAGCCTAGAGGCCTCTCAAAAAACCTCCCCAAGTTCATCAACTGACTTGACCGTCGGAGGTACCATGGGGGAAACTAGCCCCGTATTCCTGCGATTCTTACATGTGCAGGGTATCAGTCCACCCCGCGCGCTCAGAATCGGGCATAAAGTCAGAGAAGGAGTCGGCCCCAATATTCATCCTCTCCTTCTTCCCTACCGTCGCCAGGATCGAAACTGCATCCGACTGCGAGACACCCCCATCGACTGTTTGTTCACGAGCATCAACAATAATCAAAAACTTTTTTCTAGAATTTTTAAAGTTAGAATGTACAAATTCAATTAAGAAAGAAAATATAAATTATGTGATCAATTTCAAATCTGATATTATAATCTACCTACATATTCTCAACTAATTAATTAACTTGTCAAAACGATTACTCTCAAATTTCAGAAAACTATAAAATATAATCTAAGAATGATTTAAACATATTTTGTACACATATGGATTGTATTTAATAAAATAATTTAGATCTATCCAATATTGAATAGTATCCAAAAATTAGGTTAAAGAGTTAAAAGAATCTAATAACACTCATATCCAAACTATATGCTTCATAAAGGTGAGACATAGAAAATGAACAACTTAATTTATTTTGTTAAATAATTTATTATAAATCATAAAAGATAAGGAGAATCATAAGAATCATATAGTCATCCCAAATAAAGATTTAATTTTTCTCTGCGAATTTTGTAGCAAAAGATTTTCAAAGATACTGATAGACTTGCTATAAAATCCACTCTTATAAGATTGATGTCACACGTGTCTTAAATTGTGCATTGTTTAAGGGTTAATTTTATAAAATTTCTCCTCAATAAATGAGTAAAGCTTTGTTCATCAAATTTGGGGTGTTATAGTTAATCTATCTCAACTTCAAAATTTTGATTTAACCCTATGAACTTTTCTCAATGTACCACTCAAAACTAATATCGTTGAGTCGAATTCATTAGGTGATAAGTAATTGACGTGGAAAGACCAAAATATCCCTCAACCATAAAAAATTAGATTGGTTTTTGCTAGATGAAAGAAAAAGTGAAGATTTAGAGGTTAAAAGAACTGTAAATTGGTCGTAATCCTTTTATTATCGATTGAGAGTTTCTTTTTAACTAAAATGGCTTTCTTTAACAAGGCATTTTGACAAAATTACATATTAAAGTCTTTTACATTAAGAGAGTTTGTTCAGAGATGTGTAAAAGACTAGGAGAGTTTTTATGAGACACGCTAAGTCGAAGGGTGTTTACTAAAAGCGCACCAAAGTTGTGATGGGTTATCTACAACACCTCTATAGTTAGGAGGCTCTGTCAAATTAAATTAATTGAATGGTTTTTTGAGACATTCCCCATAGTTGAGAGAATTTTCAAAAAATTAACTATTCTTTTAAATTAAACTTACTTACATATTTGCCCTTCAAAGATTTTATAATTCAATATTAGTCCCTAAATTATAAGCAATTTCAAATTTTTAAGGGAATAATGTAGAATTATTGGAGATTTAAAATCAATGGAATGATATCTAAATTACCTTTAAATGTTGTTCTTATAGGCAATATATGAAATATCAGTCGATATATCGCTATATCAACTGATATAAAAGGTTAAATACTTTATCTTGATAATATTTATGGTTTTATATTGTTTTTTTATTTGGGGATTTTTTTCTCATATATCAATCATTATCGAAAATATTGATCGGTATAACAAAATTGAGTCATTTTTAATTTAATTGTGGGCTTGGTATTGGGTCATGTTTGGAAACCAAAACTAAAGCACAAGTCACAAAAGCCGCAATTCATATCCCAAATTTCTCCGCTCTCCGCTCTCCCAAATCTAAAGCATATATCTAGACAGAAATTTCCGTCTAGGTTCGGCGGGGGGAGGGGGAAGGGTTAGGATTAGGGTTAGGTTTTGTATTATTTTTAAGGTAATCTAGATGGAAATTTCCGTCTAGGTTCGGCGGGGGGAGGGGGGAAGGGTTAGGTTAGGTTATGTATTATTTTTAAGGCAATGTAGAAGGAAATTTTCGTCTAGGTTGCAACCTAGACGGAAATTTCCGTCTAGATTGCCAATAAATTTTTTAAAATAAATATAAACCGGCTAGTTTGGCATTGTAGATGGAAATTTCCGTCTAGAATGCCTCAAACTAGACGGAACAACCTAGATAGAAATATTTTCTTCTAGTTTGCCTCAAACTAGACGGAATTTTTTTCCATCTAGGTTGCTCCGTCTAGGTTGTTTATTTTTCTACTAGTGGTATGACGGTTTTTGTTGGTAATGTCAATATTTATATGATGTAAAATAGTAAATTACACTAATTTCTACAGGTTGGATCTGGATTATTTCTCAATCTTTTAAATTGAGGAATAAGAAAGGAAGTTAATTTTCATGTTTTCAATTTCTCACGTGAGCATTTGGATAGATGTTATATTTGTGCAGGTTGCCTTTTGAGTAGCAACATAATTCTATTTATTTGAATAGGTCTCTTTTGATTGGTAAATTTGATTCATAATGAGATCTCTTTGTCCTTTGTTCTTTCAATCTACACATAATTATAACGTCTGATGAAATTTGTTATTTTCATGTTGATGGATTGCTCATGTCCTGTACGTACTTATGATGAACTTTAACTTACCCAATCTGGAATATACTTACAAATCATTCAATATCGTATACATCTTAATTCATATCAACCAGGTTTTTCTAAAAAAAAAATTCATATCAACAAGTTATATTTTTTTACATTGTTTGTTGAATTCACATAGGTGGAAGAAGAATGTTCGAAAGTATATTCACTGCTTAGAATGATTTTTAAAGTCTACAAAAGACAATCAAGTAATTACACATGGTTTCTATTGAACAAGGCTATTGATTTTTTTTCCTTTTTGTTAATTTCACTACTCTGATGTTGGATTCATTCACTTGATAGTAACCAAACTAACTCGCACCAAAATACTTTATGCCTAATATATCATCTCAAAATGAATTTAACCGAGTTATAGTAAAGATAAACTAAAAAGAAATAATTATAACATTTAACCACGTGTATTGCACGTGCATCCATATACATAAGCCATTTTTGCTGGCTAAATAGTTACATCCACTTTTGGAACTCTCAAATCTAAGAAAAATACAACTTCAATTTTACGTAGCATACAAGCCACACATGCAAAACTCAAACATAAGCTCACACACTCCTTGGGTTGAATACATGAGCTCCCACAAATTATGCAAATCAACCATGTAGGTATACATCTTATTCCATATGTAGGCACCCTTTATACTTGATTAGGAACCTGGCGCACGCATTACGAATAGGATAAATATTGCAGGTAACCTCCTTGTCCATATCACTTTTAACTATTTTAATAGCACTTAACACCACCGGATTCATAAGGAAAGAGAGTTATCTGCAATTAATGTATAGCCTCTATGGGCATCGGAGCACAACGGTCTCAACAGTAATCCCAGGTCCCATCCCAATAAGCAAACCCCACTCCAAGCCCTCACCGGCAGTGGCCATCTTCATCTTCTCCGACCTCCTCCTCATAGTCTCCATCACAAACAACACTGAAGCACTCGACATGTTCCCATACTCCCTCAGCACCTCCCTCGTCGCCTCAAGCTTCTCCTTGTTCAGACCCAACACCATCTCCACCGCATCCATTATCGCTCTCCCCCCTGGGTGCACTATCCAAAACACATCATTAACAGCGGTGCTCCCTATGCTCCCCATTGCCTCTTTCACGATTTCATCGTAGCCTTCGGGTAGTTTCGATAAAATCTCGGGAGGAGTCACGGATCTATCTGTTGCCGTGGGTGTCAGTTTGATCGGTTTGAGGGCTTCCTTGACGATCTTCCCAATGCTTCCGGCGATGTGTAAGGGGATCTCTGGTTGCAGGCTGATCATGAGTCCGGCCTCCCTCAGTTTTCCCTCTATCGTTCCCTCTGATCCTGGAATCAGATTTTTTTGAAGATGCATAAGATTTGGGAATCATGCAGCATGTTGATCAAGATGTATGTATTACTATTATGTTTCATTTATCAAATTATAGACCTTGTAGTTGAATTTTTTTTGATTTTTTTAACTCTCATGAGATAACTAATTTCACCCACACACACACAAGTTTTTATGTACCATGATTAAATATTTTTACTTTATTTTCGCATTAAATTTTGTTTCTTAGTTTTACTTTAATAGTTTTTGCTTACTCATGTATCTAAACTTTAGTGTTGTAATTATTTATTTTCATTGATGTTTGTTTGGATGGACTACACTGAATTTAAATTTTTATATTGATAATTGAATTGCCAGGAAACAAATGTAATCTAAAGCCAATTTGAATTTTCATGTTATTTGGACCGACATGAAACCAAACTTGACTTGATAAATTATAGTGTTGCGAAAATGAAAAATACTTGAAAATAGCATTATAAAAGCAAGGCGAATAAAATTAAAGTCAATAAGACAATATGATTGATTAAAAACGGGCTAGAACAAAACTAAAGAGAATATGAAGTTACTCCTAATCATTGATAGACTTCATTCAAAACTATAAACTAAATATTAATGCTAACTCTAGTACATTTTTATATAATAAAAATATCCACATAAGTATATAAAGTACTAAAAATAGTTTATGAAAACCCCTTCTAAATATTCCTAATTTTACTCAAAAAAATAAACTATTATATACAATATTCAAAAAATAGATCTTTTATTCCTTCTGTTTTATTTGTTTTATTGAGTCGATATCAATCCTTCTCCGCTTTTATATATTTTTTTGTGTAATTCTAGAGCAGTGTTTTCATCGTCTACATCGATTATGACTTTAGGCTTGAGGTGGATTTCTTGTACTGTTATCTTTTTTTGGGCTCGTTCATCTTTTGTCTTCTCGTCTTACTTCACAAAGAAGTTGCATGTATTTCTGATGTCCAATACGAACTTCTAGAAATACAAATTTTAATTATTTTCTGTTTCAATGAGAATAAAGGTCAATTTCATATATATATAAATATTGTGTTTCTAATTTATTACTTAAATAAGGTTAGAAGTTACTTCTTTTTCCTCTGCTATGAATTCTTCAATTATGCATTCAATAAGAGTTTCTGTTGTGTCAAATAATGTTACATTTGCTTTATCCATGTCATTTTCTACGAGGATCTGAACTAAATAACTATATTTTTATTATCAATTTGTCTTAGATTGTAATATAAATATTTAATTTTGATAAGTTTATTTTGTGAAGAATAGATATTACTTAACATTAGTACTATGTCATCGGCAGTTCTATGATATTTATCATTTAGACACTCTTATTAACATTTTTATCCACCTTTATATTGCAACCTTTGTAAGCATAGGACCAACTCTACTGGAAATGGTAGTTACCATTGTATTATAGGTACAATAGCATGCTTATATGTTAGTAAACTATTTTTAAGTTTAATTGTATGAATTTTAGACTTGGTCTTGTAAGATCATATATTTTTCAAATGTTGTGATAAATGTATATATTAGTAATTTGAATTTGTGTTGTATTTATAAAGAGTCTTGATGGATGTGCTTTTGTCTTGGTAGCTTGTTCTGACTGCGTATAAGCTTTAATGTAATTTTTTTATTATGTTATATGAATGTTTGCTTGGTTTACTTAACATTTTCTTATTTCTTCAGTAAGTTGTATATTTGGATTAATAGATATTGTTGACACAATTTATGATGATATGCATATTTTTTCCTACAAATTTGAGTCATGTATAACGTTAATTTTATGTTTAGTGATCTTTAATAAGAATTTTAGCAATGAAGTATGCTACATTTATATCTAAAGATCTTGAAATTTGAATATCAAACAATTACCTTTTTCTTTATCAAATTTAGAAATTTTAGCCTTTTTTGCAATTTTGAAATTTTGAGGGAGTATTTTGTAATTTTTGAAACTTTAGTAGAATTTTTTGAAAATTTTAAGTTTGGTGTTTGTAATTTTTATATTTTGTGTATTGGTGATTAGTTTTTAAATATTAGGATATTTCTTGCAAGTCTGAAATTTTGAGTGTTTTACAATTATTAAAATTTTGAGTTATTTTTTGTAAAATTTAATTTTTTAGCGGTTTACTAGTAATTTTCAGATTTGATGTGTATTGGTTATAAATTTTTAAATTTTAGATTTTTTATGATTTTTTAACTTTTGAGAGAATTTTTATAATTTTTATAAAATTGAGGTTTTTTTTACAAAATTTAAACTTTCAAGTGCTTGATGGTAATCCCTTGAATTCATCTATGTTGTTTGTAAGTTTTGACTTTTAAAATTTTAGGGTGTTTTTTTATAATTTAGACTTTTGAGGTTGCTTACACAATTTTTGAAATGCTGAGGGTGCTAATTGTAAATTTAAAAAATTTGGGGCTATTGTTAATTTTAGGGTTCCATGTTTGTTGTTTTAAGTTTTATAAAGTCACGGTGTTTTGTGTAATTTTAAACTTTTGAGGGTGCAATTTTTAAAACTTATTGGGTTTTTCAAAAAGATTTCATTTATCGTAATATGTTAGCTATGTGCGATTTCTTAATCTTATTTTTTTAAAAAAATTATTGAGCTAAAGGTAGTTCATCGTTTGATTAATTTAGCATATAATTAGTATTAGGATATATTAAGATTTAAAAGGAAATATTCAAAATAGTTTTTCATGTCTATTATTAATCTTATCTTTTTTAATTGTTGAGTTATAGATGCCTCACATAAGGTTAGTATAAGATATAACTAGAATTAAGATAAATTAAGATTTAAATAAAATTTTCAAAATAATAAAGGATAATATTGATCATGAAAAGTTTTTCCCGAACTCATCCT